CAGCCTTGCAGCCTTACAGCCTTGCAGCCTTACAGCCTTGCAGCCTTGCAGCCTTGCAGCCTTGCAGCCTTACAGCCTTACAGCCTTACAGCCTTACAGCCTTACAGCCTTACAGCCTTACAGCCTTGCAGCCTTACAGCCTTGCAGCCTTACAGCCTTGCAGCCTTGCAGCCTTGCAGCCTTACAGCCTTACAGCCTTACAGCCTTACAGCCTTACAGCCTTACAGCCTTGCAGCCTTACAGCCTTACAGCCTTGCAGCCTTACAGCCTTACAGCCTTGCAGCCTTGCAGCCTTACAGCCTTACAGCCTTACAGCCTTACAGCCTTGCAGCCTTGCAGCCTTGCAGCCTTACAGCCTTGCAGCCTTACAGCCTTACAGCCTTACAGCCTTACAGCCTTGCAGCCTTGCAGCCTTGCAGCCTTACAGCCTTACAGCCTTACAGCCTTACAGCCTTGCAGCCTTGCAGCCTTACAGCCTTGCAGCCTTGCAGCCTTGCAGCCTTGCAGCCTTACAGCCTTACAGCCTTGCAGCCTTGCAGCCTTGCAGCCTTACAGCCTTACAGCCTTACAGCCTTACAGCCGTACAGCCTTACAGCCTTGCAGCCTTGCAGCCTTACAGCCTTACAGCCTTACAGCCTTGCAGCCTTGCAGCCTTACAGCCTTGCAGCCTTACAGCCTTGCAGCCTTGCAGCCTTGCAGCCTTGCAGCCTTACAGCCTTACAGCCTTACAGCCTTACAGCCTTACAGCCGTACAGCCTTACAGCCTTGCAGCCTTGCAGCCTTGCAGCCTTACAGCCTTACAGCCTTACAGCCTTGCAGCCTTGCAGCCTTACAGCCTTGCAGCCTTGCAGCCTTACAGCCTTGCAGCCTTGCAGCCTTGCAGCCTTACAGCCTTACAGCCTTACAGCCTTGCAGCCTTGCAGCCTTACAGCCTTGCAGCCTTGCAGCCTTACAGCCTTGCAGCCTTACAGCCTTACAGCCTTGCAGCCTTGCAGCCTTACAGCCTTGCAGCCTTGCAGCCTTACAGCCTTACAGCCTTACAGCCTTACAGCCTTGCAGCCTTGCAGCCTTACAGCCTTGCAGCCTTGCAGCCTTACAGCCTTGCAGCCTTGCAGCCTTACAGCCTTACAGCCTTACAGCCTTACAGCCTTGCAGCCTTACAGCCTTGCAGCCTTGCAGCCTTACAGCCTTCCAGCCTTGCAGCCTTGCAGCCTTACAGCCTTACAGCCTTGCAGCCTTGCAGCCTTACAGCCTTGCAGCCTTGCAGCCTTACAGCCTTGCAGCCTTGCAGCCTTGCAGCCTTACAGCCTTACAGCCTTACAGCCTTGCAGCCTTGCAGCCTTACAGCCTTGCAGCCTTGCAGCCTTGCAGCCTTGCAGCCTTGCAGCCTTACAGCCTTACAGCCTTACAGCCTTGCAGCCTTGCAGCCTTGCAGCCTTGCAGCCTTACAGCCTTGCAGCCTTGCAGCCTTGCAGCCTTACAGCCTTACAGCCTTGCAGCCTTGCAGCCTTACAGCCTTACAGCCTTACAGCCTTACAGCCTTGCAGCCTTGCAGCCTTACAGCCTTGCAGCCTTGCAGCCTTACAGCCTTGCAGCCTTGCAGCCTTGCAGCCTTGCAGCCTTACAGCCTTGCAGCCTTACAGCCTTGCAGCCTTGCAGCCTTGCAGCCTTACAGCCTTACAGCCTTACAGCCTTACAGCCTTACAGCCTTACAGCCTTGCAGCCTTACAGCCTTGCAGCCTTGCAGCCTTGCAGCCTTGCAGCCTTGCAGCCTTACAGCCTTACAGCCTTACAGCCTTACAGCCTTACAGCCTTACAGCCTTGCAGCCTTACAGCCTTACAGCCTTGCAGCCTTACAGCCTTACAGCCTTGCAGCCTTGCAGCCTTACAGCCTTACAGCCTTACAGCCTTACAGCCTTACAGCCTTGCAGCCTTGCAGCCTTACAGCCTTGCAGCCTTACAGCCTTGCAGCCTTGCAGCCTTGCAGCCTTACAGCCTTACAGCCTTACAGCCTTACAGCCTTACAGCCTTGCAGCCTTGCAGCCTTGCAGCCTTGCAGCCTTACAGCCTTACAGCCTTGCAGCCTTGCAGCCTTACAGCCTTACAGCCTTGCAGCCTTGCAGCCTTACAGCCTTGCAGCCTTGCAGCCTTACAGCCTTACAGCCTTGCAGCCTTGCAGCCTTGCAGCCTTCCAGCCTTACAGCCTTACAGCCTTACAGCCTTGCAGCCTTGCAGCCTTGCAGCCTTGCAGCCTTACAGCCTTACAGCCTTGCAGCCTTGCAGCCTTACAGCCGTGCAGCCTTACAGCCTTACAGCCTTACAGCCTTACAGCCTTACAGCCTTACAGCCTTGCAGCCTTACAGCCTTGCAGCCTTGCAGCCTTGCAGCCTTACAGCCTTACAGCCTTACAGCCTTGCAGCCTTACAGCCTTACAGCCTTACAGCCTTGCAGCCTTACAGCCTTGCAGCCTTGCAGCCTTACAGCCTTGCAGCCTTACAGCCTTACAGCCTTGCAGCCTTGCAGCCTTACAGCCTTGCAGCCTTGCAGCCTTACAGCCTTACAGCCTTACAGCCTTACAGCCTTGCAGCCTTGCAGCCTTACAGCCTTGCAGCCTTGCAGCCTTACAGCCTTGCAGCCTTGCAGCCTTGCAGCCTTACAGCCTTACAGCCTTACAGCCTTACAGCCTTGCAGCCTTACAGCCTTGCAGCCTTGCAGCCTTACAGCCTTCCAGCCTTGCAGCCTTGCAGCCTTACAGCCTTACAGCCTTGCAGCCTTGCAGCCTTACAGCCTTGCAGCCTTGCAGCCTTACAGCCTTGCAGCCTTGCAGCCTTGCAGCCTTACAGCCTTACAGCCTTACAGCCTTGCAGCCTTGCAGCCTTACAGCCTTGCAGCCTTGCAGCCTTGCAGCCTTGCAGCCTTGCAGCCTTACAGCCTTACAGCCTTACAGCCTTGCAGCCTTGCAGCCTTGCAGCCTTGCAGCCTTACAGCCTTGCAGCCTTGCAGCCTTGCAGCCTTACAGCCTTACAGCCTTGCAGCCTTGCAGCCTTACAGCCTTACAGCCTTACAGCCTTACAGCCTTGCAGCCTTGCAGCCTTACAGCCTTGCAGCCTTGCAGCCTTACAGCCTTGCAGCCTTGCAGCCTTGCAGCCTTGCAGCCTTACAGCCTTGCAGCCTTACAGCCTTGCAGCCTTGCAGCCTTGCAGCCTTACAGCCTTACAGCCTTACAGCCTTACAGCCTTACAGCCTTACAGCCTTGCAGCCTTACAGCCTTGCAGCCTTGCAGCCTTGCAGCCTTGCAGCCTTGCAGCCTTACAGCCTTACAGCCTTACAGCCTTACAGCCTTACAGCCTTACAGCCTTGCAGCCTTACAGCCTTACAGCCTTGCAGCCTTACAGCCTTACAGCCTTGCAGCCTTGCAGCCTTACAGCCTTACAGCCTTACAGCCTTACAGCCTTACAGCCTTGCAGCCTTGCAGCCTTACAGCCTTGCAGCCTTACAGCCTTGCAGCCTTGCAGCCTTGCAGCCTTACAGCCTTACAGCCTTACAGCCTTACAGCCTTACAGCCTTGCAGCCTTGCAGCCTTGCAGCCTTGCAGCCTTACAGCCTTACAGCCTTGCAGCCTTGCAGCCTTACAGCCTTACAGCCTTGCAGCCTTGCAGCCTTACAGCCTTGCAGCCTTGCAGCCTTACAGCCTTACAGCCTTGCAGCCTTGCAGCCTTGCAGCCTTCCAGCCTTACAGCCTTACAGCCTTACAGCCTTGCAGCCTTGCAGCCTTGCAGCCTTGCAGCCTTACAGCCTTACAGCCTTGCAGCCTTGCAGCCTTACAGCCGTGCAGCCTTACAGCCTTACAGCCTTACAGCCTTACAGCCTTACAGCCTTACAGCCTTGCAGCCTTACAGCCTTGCAGCCTTGCAGCCTTGCAGCCTTACAGCCTTACAGCCTTACAGCCTTACAGCCTTACAGCCTTACAGCCTTACAGCCTTACAGCCTTACAGCCTTACAGCCTTACACTTTAAAACTTTAAAACTTTAAAACTTTAAAACTGATGTTCTACTTTAATCAAGCTCTTCTGACGACTTCTGTACATCTGTCACATGAGCTACACCCAAAGCCAAAGTTTTAGCGCACGACCCCCCCCCCCCCCCTCCTCCTGCTCATGATCTATCATGTTACATGTACCACTGCTTTTCACACGAACAGTAACAGGGTCATACCCTGCTAGACTGCTGATGCAGGTGTGCGTTTCTTTCTAGCCTGGTCCAACCCAAGGGCACTGATCCACTATTACATGCACACACGCGCACGAGTTGATTCATGCACTACAGGGGCGTCGCACACGGTACGGTCACTACGGTATTGACCGTACCACTATTTGCCCCAAGTACCCCGTGAATCAATAAAATGCACTGATTTGGGCACTAAATTTCCAAAATTTTGCGGCTCAGCCATCCCTCCCCCACAAGTATATTGTACTTCAGATGGCTGACCGTACCACACTAAAATACCTTCCGACGGCCCTGCACTAGCTTAGGGTAAATTGGCATGCTCTAAGATCGCCTAGTGTGCAAAGCTTCAAGGTGCAATTGCAATATAACGTCCCTGTCTCCGGTATTTGCTTAGAAAGTAGATTTGTTAAATAGTGTGCTACTCGCCACTCCACCAGCCACCAGCAGGTTGAAAGCATAGCCAGGATCAACGGTGCTTTCCAGGGCATGCAGGGCATGCATGGCTGCGTATGATGTATGCTACATCGGCCAATGCTGTTCCAATCTCTGTATGATGTATGCTACATCGGCCAATGCTGTTCCAATCTCTGTATGATGTATGCTACATCGGCCAATGCTGTTCCAATCTCTGTATGATGTATGCTACATCGGCCAATGCTGTTCCAATCTCTGTATGATGTATGCTACATCGGCCTGCAATGCTGTTCCAATCTCTGTATGATGTATGCTACATCGGCCACTGAATGCTGTTCCAATCTCTGTCTCTGCCTGTAGCTGTACAGTGCTAGACAGCGGACGGTTCCTGACGCAGCACCCGCACCAGCCAAAGGGAAGGGAAAGGGAGGAAAGGAGAAGCCACCCGCAGGTGGAAAGAAGTCCAGCATGAAGGAGTCTGCCGGCAAGGCAAGCCCAGCCGCAGCGCCACCGCCTCCGCTCAAGATGTACAGCGACATGAAGACCAGGCAGGAAGAAGAGCAGGATGCAGTTGCAGCCGGTAAGCCCTGTCCTGTGTTCTGTGTCCTGTCTACTGTTCTATGTCTGGAGTACCATGCAGATGTGTTCAAACTTCAAACAAAACGAAGTAGCATATGTCCTGTGCTGTGCCATGGATCATCATCCGTTATCCATCAAAACTGCTGTCTGAAAAAGGAAAGAAAATACCCATACAATCCGAGACTGCCTTCTGCAATATTGTTTTTTTGGCATGCTTGCGTTGAAGTGAACCAGCCAGATACTAAGTCCACTGCTTCACGTTTATGCTGTGCGAGCGTGTGTGTGTGTGTGTGTGTGTGTGTGTGTGTGTGTGTGTGTGTGTGTGTGTGTGTGTGTGTGTGTTTATGTGTTTATGCTGCCTGTCTGTCACAGATGACGAGCCAGAAGATGGCCCTGATTACTACATTGTCTTCACTGGTTTTCATGAGTCACTGCACTTCTTCGCCGAGCTGAGCAAGGTGGGCATTCACTGTGATTTACTGGTTGAGCTCCGGAAGGCTGACAACGATGAAGCTGCCCACCTAGATAGCAAAAACACGTTACTTGACTGGGAGAGCGGTGGTGACCGCAAGAGACCCGCAACGACTAAAGAAGGTGTGTGCACATAGATGTAGGGGACAACATGATGGTGTATAATGATGTAACGCAGACCATCCAACATTTGAAAACAGCTTATCATGGTTATCAGTGCCGAACCCGGCCACATCACTTGTTAGCCTGCTCATTTAGTATACACAGCCCCTCCCCCCCCCTCCCCATCCATTGTACACAGCCCCCCCCCCTCCTCCTCTCTCGGCCCCCAATCCAATGTACATAGCCCCTACTCAGTGCTCCACCATGATTGCAAGTAGATGCGAGACAGAGAGAGAGAGAAAGAGAGAGAGAGAATTAGAGAGAGAGAGAGAGAAAGAGGGGGGAGAGAAAAACTCTCGATCTTGGTGCAGACATGGCAGCAATCGAGTGGGTACGGACATGCGTAACGACATTGCTATCACATGACAGCACGGTAATTCTGTGAAGAACAGCGTGGGTTCACACTCCTGCATGCATGCAATGTACTGTCATGGACATGGACATCCAGTCGATTGACCGGGGCCGGCACCCTCAGCACGTACAGAATGTTGCATGCAGTACACAATTATGTTCAGGTGTTGATCCAATACGACCAGCAGCGCATACATGCATGCGTGTACTGCTTACCTATGGCTGCATGGCCAGCGCCCTGGGGCCGCTAAACGTGCGGCCAGATTTCCATGTTAACGATGCATATAGATGATGTGTTCCCTTTCGCTTGCTTCTTGAAATCATGGGCTGACCTGGGCTTAAAATACGGTTTTCCATTTGGGACGATGATTAGTGTGAGCCATTAGAGTCTGGCAGTTAGACTCATTTTCTAAACATGGATGCTTTGACTGGTGTGCATTGCAGAAACTCTAAACGAGGAAGAACAAGAAGAAAGGCGAAACCGTCTAGCACAGCAGAAATCTACCATTGATCGGTTCTGGCAAGAGACACGTCACACCGTTAATCAAAGCGGCTCATCAGATCCACTGCGTGATATGACCTGGAACTCCCTTTTCAATGTTGCGGATGTAAAAGATCTTAGCGAGGAAGCGGAGGTATGTGCTTAGCCTTGGTGCATGAATGGTTACCATAGTGAGACCGCTGCTCTGGACCCGGGATGTTGCTGGGATAGTATACAGTATAATGTGTACGAGTGTGAGTCTATGCTAGCCTGCACTCCCCGGTGTGTGTGTGTGTGTGTGTGTGTGTGTGTGTGTGTGTGCGTGTGTGTGTGTGTGTGTGTGGGTGGGTGTGGATAAATTCAGTAAACTGAAAACTCAGCGGCATTGAAGTCTTGCAGAGATCAGTAGTCCTTTATGCTCCCTTGTTTATGCCTCGTCATCATTACTTTTCTGGTATGGTCCATGTTATTACTGTATCATTGTGTTACTTCTGCCCGTACAAGAGGCCGGTTCCAAAAAAGAAAAGAAAAAAGAGATCAATAGTCATGAGAAAAGCATGCATAGTAAAGATGATCCCATGATCACCTCCAGTTGTGTTCTAGCCGATGGGTATTTGCTGGCATGTGCTTTACTTTCCAGGCGGAATTTCAAAAGCAAGTCTACGACGAATATGCAAGGATTGTTTTCACTGTCGTTGAAGAGAAGCAGCTACACAAACACTACCTGAATGCACTGGCTGCAGCTAAAGTGCCTCGGCTGACTCCGGCTGTGCATGTTGCCAAGCCAAAGCAGCTACTCAGCTCCGTCTATGCCACGGAGGAGAGCGATATCTTCAACACCCCCACGGACGTCTACAGGCGCCTGTTAAACAGTGTTCCGGTCGAGTTCACGTCTGTGCCGATCATCATGCACTGCATGCTTGAACAGGTAAGAAACAAGGCGGATTGATGCGGGGGGGGGGGGGGGGGCTGTACTCGCAGCATGTGCAAGGTGTTTGCAATTGCCCGGCTATACAGTCCTGTACATGTAACTAATCAGGTTGTCAGTAAGGTTTAGTGATCACTGTGCAAGCATGGGTGTGCTCTCTCGGTCAAATGCACTGTCAAATGCACTGCAACATGCACTGATATGCACTGTCCATAGGGCTATCACAGATCTAAAGTTGAAATTCGTTGATGTAGGAATAGGAATAGGTGGTGCAGCCACGGCTAGGAGGCATGCTGACCTCTTGAAGTTTAGGCTGCAAGCTAGTGTCAGAGTGCTTAAAAAAGGGTGCTTTCTGGCTCAGCAGCCTGCAGAGGCTGTGTCCACAGAAACCTGAGGTAATCCGCTTAGGTGAAGAATCTGAGGATCAAGTCCTGCTCGCAGAGTCCCACTGTGCGACTTGCCTATCCCATGCTGTATCTTGTATAATAGTTGGAGTGTAACCGACAAACAATGAGGCCCACTGCAGTCCATTCATCCAAACTGGCTGGTTTCAAATTGAAAGCTCGATTTTGGCCAAGTTGATGTTCCAAAGCCCACTTTACTTAAAAAATCTGGGTTTTTGGATCTGCTTCTCTATACATTTTGCCATGGCATACCTGGCCTAATCTTGTTTAACCTAGCTGACGTATAATGTAACAGTTATCGGTGATGTCAGCCTTACACTGTAACAAGATAGCTTTGCCATCTCACTCCTCCTCCAACATGAACTGAAGGTAGTTCATGCTGCATCCATCATAAGACTCGTATATCTTGTGTTTTGCTGCAATAGGTTTGTCATACACTGGACACTGACAGCAGTCGGCAAGAACGACAGTCCAAGATGCCGCCAATCGAGAAGGACTTTGAAAGCACATTCATGACCTCGCTACTTGACACAATGGCGGACAATGTGCCAGCGAATACAACAAAGGTATGCAGTCAATTCGTAGCAGACCATGATAATTGAACTTGGTCGAAAGCACGTTAAGCCATCGACTGAAAAATCATGTGGGTGGTGTACTATTAACTGTTAAAAGTGGAATGGCCTTGGTCCCAGGCCTGTGGCTGCAATGATTGTTCTTCAAATATTGCTAAAAATGATCAACCATTCTTCACATTATTCCACTGATGATGTTACCGTGCCGTACTGCGCCCCTGACAACCACACATACATTTTGAATTCATGTACATGTACATCAGGGCTGGTTTGGGAACCCATGAGTTCAGGGAACCTGTTGTTGTAGCGTTCTAGGACCAACACTATTCGACTCCGACCGCACCCGGAAGACTGCGGCATCTTCAGTGAACGTTTGCTTGTACCGGAGGCGTGGAAGAATTTCAAAGCAGATCATACAATGAACGTGCAAAGACTGTACGTCACATGCATGCATGCATGCACGCATACATGTAGCTCCTGACCTACTGTCCACTATGGTCTTAATGCTCCTGGCTTCTACTGGCTCTGTGCACTTGTGCACATGGGTAAGACTCATATGTACATGCTTGTGTGATTTCTATCTCCTTCATGCACAGAGCTCGTATAAAGATGAACGTGACAGTTCAAGTAGCAGCGGAGCGACGAGCGTTTACCACGGCGGAGACACCGCCACGCAACGACAGGAGCAGCTGACTGTTCCAACTGGCTTTGACATGATTGCTGCTGAGAAGGCTGTTCAGTCGTTATCGCCCCTTCGCTACCTGGTCACCACACCACTGCGATGTCCACGCGACCAGGACCGGATCGGTGCCCGCCTGCAGCAGATAGAAGCTACGGTGGGCCGCGGCAGTTTTGCTACACGATCCTCGTTTCTGCATGCACTCCAGCAGCTGTGTTTGGAGGGGCTCGTGCCTCGTATGAGCAAGCTCCTCTCACACACCGTCAATGCTGCATCAACTATATGGGCCGATCCACTGGCGTCTGTGGCGAAACTGGAAGATCAGGAAGCAGCTCTGACAGGGGATCTGCCCATGAACGACTGGTGTGTGTCAAGATTCCATCCGAACACGCCGGCCCTACTCCAGGTCCTGGAAGATGCATATCAACAGTATCGCTGCTGCACTGTCGCCGATCTACAGTCGCTGCAGAGCCGCCTGGTCTGCTTCCATGACGGCAACGTGTCGCGGAGTGAACTGCTGGTCCCGTTGTCCAACAAAACTGTACTGAAGACTCCAGTGCAGTTTTCCAACTTCCGGACAGACTTTCTAGAACCCCTCCGTGAACGGCTCACGGTCGAAGTCAAACGTGCTCAAGCTGAGAAGACGGGGCTTGTAGCGCAGAGAGAAGAAGCAGCAAAGAAAGAGGCTGAAGAGCGGGCTGCTGCAGAAGCAGCGGCAGCAGCAGCTGAGGCGGAGACAAGTGCCGCCAAAGGTCGCAAGACACCAGCAAAATCCCGGGCAGCTAGCAGCCAAAGCGGCCCCGGATCGGCGACCAAGGCTGGAAAGTCAGCAAGTAAGTCGGGAGCAGTGCTGTCACCGCCTGACATTCCCGAAGCAGCAACTGAACAAGAGCCGGATTTACCGCTGAGGAAGGTGTTCTCTGGCTGTGATTTTGGTGAAGACTCCATAGTTCAGCTCATGGAGGACTACACTGTACTGACGGCGGACAAGGTGGACAGCATCTGTATTGGCGAGCAGTGCTTTGAGGATGGCAACCAACACTATTGTGTGAAGGTGCGCAGTGGAACAGATGTTTACAGACTTCACCGAATTGCTGCCAAGGAACCGAGTGTACCAGTCGCCAGCCCTGAGCCACATCCGACGCATCAGCCTCCACCTGCGGACCAGAATTCCGAGCCAGCACAAGCTGGAGAAGCAGCGGATGTGGAAATCACCATACAAGACGAACCCGACAAGATGGCGGACGAGTTTGATGCCCTGCCCAAGCCAAAGGAAGCCAGCTGTCTCTTCAGCAGCTTTCAAGCTGAGATTAATGGGCTGAACATTGCTGGAAGCTGGTATCCAAAAGGCCGACCACCCTCACTGGATGATAAATTTGCTGAGCAATTCAAAAGCGTGACAGATGAGCTGGAGTCGATTCCACCGACAAGAGCAGTTGAGAGTCCAGTTCCAGACAAGGCTAACGCACAGAAAGGGAAGAAGCAGCAGCAGATGCAAGCGGAAATTGAGCGCCTTGAAGCTGAGCAGAAAGCCAATGAAGAGAGGAGGGAACAGCTGATCAAGGATCGACACAGCATCCTGGCCGCAGCACGCAACGCACGCCTGCGGCCAACATTCCCGCAGACCTCGGTGTGTCTGAGCAATGGCCTGCACGTTGCCTTCTCAGTGCAACACTTGCAGCCGGAACAAGAGCTAAGCGAGAAGAGCCTGGACGAGCCGGGAGTGATCTGCGTGCACCAGCGCTACGTCATGCCCGGTACTGCAGGCCAAGAGAGACTCGAGGCGGCGTGCTCAATGCGAGCAGACGTGGAGGAGGCACGGTGCGTCCATGGCGACGGAAGAGTGGTGGTGCTGAAACGTAGTGGTGACTGTGACATCCTGTTCCCGGATGGATCGACAATTCACGGTCGCATTCCACCAGAGCTGACCTTGCCCGACGAGGAGGAGGAGGAGGACGAAGCCAGCTTTTCAGGAATTCAAAATCGTACCTTGAAGCGCGATTGGACGTGGTACAGCTGCGGTGGCATGAAGTCAACGTGGACGTCATCAGCATCGCCAGCCTCGCTATCTCCGGCAGATGAAGACGGAACCGTGAAGCCAGCTTCATTGTACACACAGGAGATGAAGGTGGAGAAACTGACCAACCCCGATTCAAAGGAGGTGCGTATTACTTGCTGGATTTTTCGTAGGTGAAATGGCGATACCCTGTAACTGGTTTACTACTGGCAATTGCATACACAGAGGAGATGAGAGGATGTGCTGCTGTAAAATATAGTTTTACGCACTAAGCGATCGTCAGAGAGCACTATTATGTGTTTGTGAGCTGTCCTAGACATTAGTGGCTGGTGCGAGGGTCAGCAAGCGGGTATGAATGTGACGGTGGAACTGAAAGAGACAGAAAGAGAGAGAGAGAGAGAGAGATAAAGAGAGATAAAGAAAGAGTGAGGGAGACAGACAGACGGACGAACAGAAAGAGAGAGAGAGAGAAACAGACAGAGACAGAGAAACAGAGAGAGAGAGACAGAGAGACAGAGAGAGAGAGAGAGAGAGAGAGAGAGAGAGAGAGAGAGAGAGAGAGAGAGAGAGAGAGAGAGAGAGCTGCACTCGCAATTGAATAGACTTCAAACAAAGTAGTGTGTTGAAGATGCTGCATTTCGTAGAATACATACCACTGGTCGTGCGCAGTGTGACTTTGTTTCTTGCATCTGCCCTGTACATGTACTTTGTGTGTTGTCTTCTCTATTCAGGTGTCTTATTTGCTGCCAAGCAAAGTACAAATCGTCCACAAGCACGGTGGAAAGAAGATGATTGCTGCGTTCGTGGACGGCTCAATGATCACGACCAGTCGGGATGGCACGGTGCGTGTCGAATGTTCAGGCTACCTGCCTGTCTCCATCCCGTCCAGCCGCGATCGCATGCACGTACGCACGGCCAACGGCATGCGCCTGCAATGCTCTCACTTTGGCCAGTTCCGCGTGTTTGCGCACACGCGTGGCGCCACGGTGCTGTGCATGGACGTGAAGTCCTCGGGCAGCCCGGTGGTGACCTGCGGAGAGCACGAGGAAGACGCGCTGCCACCGGCAGTTCTACACGGCGACGGCGAGTATCTATGCAGCACCGTGACCGGTGGCCGACGGGTGCACGTTGATCAACTGGGCCGAGTGCTGGACGAGAAAGGAGAGAAAGAACGCATGCTGGGCGAGTCTGATGCGTCGGCAATGGCTGCCAAGCGAGCGGCTCGCTTCTTCGTCGTGCGTGATGACGGCAGTGGCGAGGAAATGCTGACCAGAGAGCGGCTGGACAAAATCGTCGCCGATGCCAACACGTCTGACAGTGCGACACAGCTGCAAACCAGCAGTTCCGGCAGTGACGCGAAGGTCATCACAACCATTCAGCAGTCGAACCTCACCGCATCCAAGACCTGGCTTCCTGAGCTATCGCAGTCCGTGTCGCCATACGGAACATTACAGCATCGCCTGGCGGTGGTGCGGCGGGAACCACTGGCAGAGCGTACTGGCAACACCAAGTACAATCATCACACTGGCAGTATGTATGGCAAGTCGCTGCGTGTCGGCCCGGTGATGGTTAAGCCACAAGCAAAGGCCAGCGCACGACCTGACTATGATGGCCTGTCGGTGCAACAGTATAGACAGTACCTGCCTCTGGATGACCGGGCACGTGACACCATTGTCGACGCCGTCAGGACGTCTCTACCGTCCTACATCGAAGACGAGAAACAGCGGCTGGAAGGAAGGGAGCAAACGGTCCCAGAAATACGGCAGCCAACAAAAGAGCTGCAGCGATTATTTGATATGTACGTGAAGCCGCCAACCCCACTGTCCGCTGCACAAGTCAAAACTGACTATGACCAACAATATGTTGTCGGCGGAAACAAACCTGCTGACCAAAATGGAGATGATGAGAGTGCATACGGCCAGACATCGTCCGATAGAGCTATGCAGAAGTCTCATCTTGAGCGGAGGCGAGAGGAACTGCAAGAGGAGAGAGCCAGGGAGGCAATGAACCACCGCCGATGGCGAACAAAGGAAGTTCCGGCTTACTTCCAGAGCCTAGTTGGTCAGCATGCGTTGCAGGGCCTGGAGCGGGAGCTGAAGGGGATCGAGGCCGAAACAAAGCCAGACTCGCCGGGCATGGAGGAGCTGTCTGGTCGCTTGGCTAAAACGCTTCACATACATCCAGCAGAGTCGACCCAGCCGGAGCCAGGTGACGACGGTGCTGCTGTTGAAGGCGGCTGCCATCAACAGCTGGACGAGCGGCCCCTGTCCCAGGAATCATTGCAATCCTGTTCACTGGGGAGTGGCGTAGATGTCCACAGCAGTGCAAGCGTCATTGATAAGCAGCACGTACCCAGTCTTCTCGTTGGAAGCATATCCAGTCTAGTTGGCAGCTGTGTTCGCCCAGACAATCCCACTCCGCTAACAGCAAGTATGCCAGACGACTCTAGTACACCAACAAACCATCCATTCGACGTCTCCATTGGTCGTGGTGATTCCGCTAGTTTGTCCAGTCTTGTTCCGCCGCACGCGTCCACTCCGATGGCAGATGCAATGGATTGTGATACGCCAACAAATGTTCCCATCATCATCGCTGACGAGGAGTACGGATCAAGCCACAGCGTTGACTACGGCGTCCGTCCGCACAACCCAACTCCGCTGAAAGGAGTGTCGGTTGACGGTAGCCAGACAGTGCCCTCGCCCATCGCCAGGGCGCATCCTGCCTCTGTCAGCATGACAGCGGCTGGCCAAGGCAGCATGCTTACCAGGACAGGCGATGATCCAATCTACCAGGGTGTATCAACGCCTGGTGGTGATCCTGGTGGTGATTCTATGGTATCTTGTGGAACGCCGCCGCCTTCACAGCTCATGACAAGCAAGTACATGAACGCTGCCGGCCTGCCTCGCAATGCCCCAGTCCCTACACCAGAAGTGTTGAAACCCAATCGAGACGGAGCTAAGCGAAACGAGAAGGTAAGCATGCGCGAACCAGCGTGGGATGGTGCTACGTTGCTACAAGTACGTTGAACATACCAAGGCGAGAAGTGATTTCCCCAGCCCCTCCTAATGTATAAATTGTAGGACTGAAGCGATCATGATTTCAGACCTACTGATTACTATACGTGCAGTTGTTAGTACGTGTTACAACCGAGAACACCAAACACACACGCAAGGGGTTTCAAATCTGCAAAAGGAGATCATTTTTCTCCCTTTCAGAGTGAATGCATAATTTTTAATTCCGATTGATCAACGAGAAAACTCTTTTCGTGTGTGTGTGTGTGTGTGTGTGTGTGTGTGTCTGCTTCTATCAAAGCAGCATGCTGTCTATACTGGTTACCCCAGCAAGTGTAGGGTGTGCATAGGTAACTATCTTGGCCGTTTTATGCCGATGTACTCCGTGTGGTGTAGACCAGGTGTGCATTGGGGGGTCGATTCACATGGCTTCGCCAGTTATGTGGATTAGACAGTTATCTGGTGCAAGTCTTGATCTGTCTCATTCAGATCTTGTTCGCTATCGTTGCTATAAGAGAAAATCTGTGGGTGCACATCCAGTGCATTTGCAGATTTGCGTGCTTCTCTTGCGACGGGCGTATACATGGTACATGGTGTGTGTGTGTGTGCACGTGTGTGTCTGTGTGTGTGTCTGTGTACGCATGTGCGTGCTTGTATGTATGCACCTGCATGTCCCCATCGCAGTACCTAGCCACAGATGGAAGCATTCATCGGCGCATGCACACATCCTCAGTGCAAGCAGCGGCGGCCAAGCTGAGCAGCAGCGGGCACACCGAGGTGGACATTGTCAGCAAGCTGCACACGTTTGTCGTTCAGCCGTCGTCGCTTGATTTCGGCCGCCTTCAGGAAGGCTGCACGTATCATCTGTCATTTAGCTTGATCAACACGGGTGTCGACTCTGGTCGGTTTCGAATCAAGCAGCCCCCGCCAGCAACAGGTCTAGCCGCTCTCTACACAACAGACCTGGTGCGTATCACGGGGAATGTTGACATACTGCTCTTCATATCAATGCAGCGATGCGAACTTTTGTGTATGCGTATGTGTTTGTGTGTGTGCGGATGTATGTACAGTCGTCCCTCTCTAATCCGGCACCTTTTGCAACGGCATTTTCTGCCGGATAAACAAGGGTGCTGGATTATCAAATCCTGCCCTCCAACCCGGCTCACCTAGTAATGTACATGTTTGTGTCGTACGTCAAAATGTAGGGATTTTCTGTGTCAATCCAAGTACTTTGCCACAAGTTTGTGGAATGCATGTGTGTAACATGCCATGTCTATAACATACACTTGGGAATATCCTATGCACTGGCATAGGATATTGGCACCGGTACGGTATGCGATGTACAACTGCTGGATTAGAAAATCATATTATGTACAGTTTGAGTGATTTGTTGCAGAAAATCGCTGCCGGAGGCGGAATTCAAGTGCCGGATTAAAGCGTAGAAAATGAACTGAAAAAATCCGTTTTGCCGGAAAGTGTGCTGGTTTTCAAGGGTGCTGGATAAACAAGTGCCGGATTAGAGAGGGACGACTGTATATGTGCATGTGCGTGCATTCGTGTGTGCATGTGTACTTGATTCACATCTGACAAGCTTTTATTTCTGTCCTGCCACTTTTCTGATGCTGACAGGTTGCAGCCGGAATGAAGGTGAATGTTGTCATGGAGATAGCAGCCATGGCAGTTGGTATTATTGCTGCCAATGGCCTGGGCAAAGTGACACACAACCTTGAAATCATCACGGAAGCGGCAATACTCACTCTGCCCATCACTGCAAATATCCCCCTCAGGCTGATATTGGTCATGTGTGTGTGTGTGTGTGTGTGTGTGTGTGTGTGTGTGTGTGTGTGTGTGTGTGTGTGTGTGTGTGTGTGTGTACATGTACGTGTATGCATGCATGCATGCATGTCCATATGAGTGTGAGTGTGTGTGTGTGGGGGGGGGGGGGTAACGTTACTGTACATATAGCCCTACTGTCTACTTGTATAATTATGACTCTTCTAGCCCAGGGCCGGATCACAGAAGTACAGGCCTGCTCATTGAAATCCAGTCGCTTCACTCAAGTGTGCGCCCTGCATCATTCCGCAGCCCAGTGTTCGCAGGTCTAGGGCTGCGCAACGTCGGGCGCGCGTACTTGAGCGACGCAACTGGATTTCAGTGAGCAGCACTGTATATGCATGACTGCAGTACATCATGCCATCACATACATGTAAAGCCTGTAAGTGCATGTACTAGTACATGTACTACAGCAATGCATGCACTACGGGTAGCAAATCGGGATAGCGCTCACTGCAGTAGACATCGGTGTACTAGAAATCAGTAGAAAACCCACCGTGTGTGCAGCAGCAGCAGCAGCAGCATGCATCAACGCAATCTCATTTGTTTGTCAGTGCATAGCTCTGCTTTTGTGATCCCGGCCCAGTGTTTACTACTGAGTATCAATGGCAAGTGCATGGATTGACTAACTAAAGTTGCTCCTTGACCATACTTTGTCTCTCACCTGTCATACCTCTTGCCGGCGATGCTGAGACTACGCACCTGGAACAACGGAAGCAGCAGACCTTGAAGGCGAAGCCGGCATCCAACGTCACGCTGGCATCGGATCGTCCGCGATCTCGTGACGGACTGGGACGGCTGAGAAAGCCCCACTGAATACGCTGGCGGCCGGAAAGAGGTGACCCCCTGTAGAAGTCAAACACTAAACTGCAGCATTACACAGAGTGTGTGAAAAGCACACTGCTTGCTGTAGGATGTGAGCTGGCAAGCAATGCCATACCTGTGTGTGCTGGCATGCATGTACTGGCATGCACATGTGGTTTTGGTTTTGCCTTTTTTAAGTTCGTTCTATTTTTTGTTTTGTTTTTTAGAACTGTTTGAGTTGAAATTTTGTGGAACACTTGGGAAAAAAATTAATATTCATTGTGTTTATTTTGCCTGTAAAAGAGGCTGTCATGCATGTACTGGCCTGCCACTGTGCCAGTTTTTATAAATTGAGTGGACGCACTAGCATTGCCGACGTCTCATAATCTCTTTCACGCAGAGTGCTCTATGCGCGCACAACGGCACACAAGCGACAGTGCAGTGCATATGAAATCACAATGCTTGAGCCTTTGGCAGCAACGGATGGTATCATGATGGCAATAGTAAATTCTTGACAGTGTAGCAGGTTAATTTCTGGTTAGTAGGCAATCACGGATATGATTTTCTTTGTTACAATGTGCTGATCTGTTTTCATCCAACAAAAGAGCTATAGGATTTTGATCTGCATATACAAATGACAGAGTCAAAGTACCTTGCATTCTAATTGTACTACTACATTGTATCCCCGACGGATTAGTAATTACTCACTGACTCTGAATGTGAGTTCTGCCCTTGCCAAGTTAGCTTGGACCAAGACAAGAAGCTTGAATGAACGTTAGGACTGTACACACGGGTATGCAGCTGAAGTCACTCTGTTGTGCAAACTGGCTCACAGATCGCATAACAAGACTGCCACGATCAATGACATCATCACATCCCAATCAGGACACAATTTCGGCATCACATCCCGATCAGGACGCAATGACATCATCACTATCTGCTGCCTTGCTAGAAAGGCACGCGTGAAATTTTTAACAAAATCTGGATGTCGAACCCAACCAACACTCAACAGCTGTGAATACTTCATGTGTACATCATTTTCTTAGATGATGAATTAAAAATCTAACGAATTACACTGAAACCTATCCAAGACGACCACTCAAGGGACCTTCAAAGTGTGGTCTCTGTAACCAGGTGGGGTCTCCTTATCCAATGCCATTTGACTGGAAATAGCATCCCTGGCTGCAGTGGTCTTCTGGGACAGGTGGTCGCCTTGACAGGTTTTACTGTATTTCAAATCATGAGAAAGGTGTTTGCTCCCCACACCGTTTCAAATCGTTAAAAATTCAAATGCTCCTTGATAAAAGTGGTCTTACACGTACATACGATAACAGACATGTCCTGTAGTCCATGCCCCAGGATCGATCTGACTGAGACTGCAACACACAGCAGCATCCAGTGTAGATCTTACACTAAGTCTTGCCATCATCACTGGGTAAGCTGCGACGAAGACGAAGTGCAGCCTCTACATGTAGAAGAAGCAGCTAAGAAAGGCATGCCATGCACAGAATAGTCACTGTCATGGCACCAGAACAGGTGTGAACTGCTATAAAAATGCCCCTCCCCTTTCCCATGCACTCACTCACTCACATGCACCACACCACACCACACCAAACACACACACACACACACACACACACACACCATGTACCATGTATACGCCCGTCGCAAGAGAAGCACGCAAATCTGCAAATGCACTGGATGTGCACCCACAGATTTTCTCTTATAGCAACGATAGCGAACAAGATCTGAATGAGACAGATCAAGACTTGCGCCAGATAACTGTCTAATCCACATAACTGGCGAAGCCATGTGAATCGACCACCAATGCACACCTGGTCTACACCACACGGAGTACATCGGCATAAAACGGCCAAGACAGTTACCTATGCACACCCTACACTTGCTGGGGTACCCAGTATAGACAGCACGCTGCTTTGATAGAAGCAGACACTAGATGCACTGGTACCTTGAAGTGAAATTGGAGTTACTTTACCAACCAGCCTCGGCTACTGAGTACTGGGAACCCAGAGCCAACAGACATACCAACAACCTCAGCCATGAAAGCTATTATAGTAACGACACACTGGATTGTGGAGTCGAAACTAGTCCAAACTTCCAAATGCTTTGGCGAGATGGTAGCCTTCCAACAGGTTCCAACACACACACACACACACACACACACACACACACACACACACACACACACACACACAATCAGAAATCGATGCACTGAGTCAAGGAATTGCAAATTATTAAAATCTGCAATGCCACAGCAAAGGGCCGGGCAAGCACACAGCGGGATCCGGGCTGATAATGAGAGCGATATAGGGCTGAGAAGCAAAAAGAGATGAATCAAGATGCGACAGAAAGGCAATGGAAGTTGAAGGTCGCAAATCAGACATAGGTCAGTTGCTACAGCGATTTTTCAAGCAAATAATCTAAAGAAGACAATGGCAATCTCCTCTATACAGTAGGAGCGGTAGCAGCAGCAGAGGCTGTTCTAATTCAAGACAGGGGCAGGGGACTATGATAAAAAAACCAAGCCAGGGTTGATTGAGCAGTACTTAAAAAAAAGTTCAATATAATACCAACAACGTTTCCAGCGCTGTCAACATGTTAAGTCAGGGTCTACAGCTTGCACCAGGTGCAGACGCTCCTTCAAGGCAGCAGAAAGACTATCAATACTAAATGCAGAGGATGACGACGAAGAGCTGGCGGTCAGCCAGCCAGATTGAACAATGTCACTCTTAAAGGCACAGATGCCTTCTTGTAGCTTACAATGACTGCCTAATGTTGGCGAGCCGTCAGTAGCTGCCACCTGTGCCATTGGTAGATATGATTGATGGCCGGGTCTAGCCGTAACACGACATCTTCCAAGGAACTGCATGCTAAACGTGAAGGAAAGATGGGTAACAAACACGGCCGCATCATCCCCTACTTCCTGAAGCGCAGCACGCACAGCTGCTGCAGCATTACTCACTTTACCTGGGACGTCAACCCACCTAAACTCTGCGTCCTTGTATTTGCTTTGGTACAGGGACAGCAGAGTGCGCGCATCTGCAACGCCTTTGCTGCCAGCAGCCTCGTTGTCTGGCGCCAGCACATCCGGGAAGTGCGCAACAATCAGCACTACATTACCTTCCAGTGCCAAGACCTTGCGCTCATACATTGCCATGAACTGCTTGAAAAACGGCGAGTGCGCGACCAGCGGCACAATCACATACATTCTAGACTGCGTGTCCAGCTCATACACCGACACAACCTTGATACTTTGCAGTGGGCGCACAATCTGCACAGTCTGATGAAGCGGCTTGGCATTGTTGGCAGAGACCTGCGAGGACTTGGCTAGCAAATTGTACATGTACTCCAGACCCACGCCAGGCCGGAAACGCACATACGCTGACACCATGCTCACGCAGCGCAGAGAATCCTCCTGCTTCGACAAGTGCTGACAGGCCACCTCCAGCTGCCTCTCAACGTCCTTGGCAAAAGCTGACGCACGCTGATGGCCCGCCAGGCCATTGAAATTGGCCGATAGCTGGTACATGGGATCACTACTCATCCAAACAATGTCCTGATCACTGCTACTGGGCTCAATCTTACCGCCGGATACAACAATAGTACTTGTTTTCGTTTGCATCTCAGTTAGAGCTAGGGGATGCTCCCGCATGTATTGTTGCATGTTTTGCAACGTATCGTACGCAGTGCGTACTTTCCGTGCCAGAAGCTGCATTTCACCCAGGTGTACACTCTTGCGCAGGAGATACATTTCCAACTCACTTTTCACAGAGAAGATGAGTCCATTGCGAAGACCGGGGATAGTCTCTAGTGCTTCCCTGCCGAGGGCACTGGGAGAACGTTGAACGCTCTGCAGGTCCACGAAGTACGGGTCGTCCTAAAGGCAACATACAGGCCAGAAGATAGGAAAGCATTCCATTAGCATTGCAGCAAGGGCACGGTGCGACCTAAAGAAGTTGGAGCAGGCACCGCCTGACACAAGGATCCAGCCAGCAGCATGTGTTACCCCTTACACCATGCCTACATACATGTAACACTGTCTATTCCTGCACTAGATAAATGAAAACAGGGATGCACATTAAAGGAACAATCCACCCAAAATTCAAATAGGAGTCCATCAGTGGCCAGCATCGTTCTGAGCCAGAATCCGAAAGGATGGTGCGCTCCGTCGAGCAGAGCGTGTAGTTTAAGGTGTGTTTCCTTGCAAAAGGCCCACCACCACTGTAGCGCAGTGCTTATGCACAGGTCATGTGCAATGTGAACAAAGAACCCAGGCATCTGAATACTAGTACCGTAAAATCCCGCCAGAGCGCCCCGTCTCTCCCATGCGCCCCTCCCTGACTTCTTGTCAGGGAAGTGAAAATCCTCGTATGACTCTGTGAAGTGTGATGCCGTACCGCACTGCAGACGCGTGCTCGACCCGGTTGGAAATGTACGCTACAGTCCACACCCTCTTGACCAGGGCCTAGGGATCGCACAAGTCCTGGGTTTTGATGGGTCCGGACGACTTCCTGCTCATGACCTTTGGTCGGTGTACGAGAAACACGCATAGTTTTCGAAGGGTGAGTACTTTTTCATGTAGTACCGAATGCGGCAAGTAGGACTCGCCCATCCGCCCTTCCCCACCTGAACCTACTCGAAGGGTGGCGGAGGTAGGGGCGCTCTGGCGGGATTTTACGGTACATTAAACGGGCCACAGCCACCTAAAACATGTCTTAGAGTGAAAAAATACATCCCAGAAATTGTCATTTTGCTCACCAGCTGCTTGAACTATACCGCAAAACAAGTATGAGAACGAAGTTTGACTAGATGCTATCGCCACTGGTTGACGAATAAAGCACAGCGTTAAAAATGTGCTCGACAGACACAATTCGTCATTCCATCAGGTCTCAATTTTTATGCAACCATGTTTTAGCTGACCTCGGCCCACATTTCGTTCTTGCAAAAATGTCAAAGGATGTGGCATCCTTGAGCCAATGGAATGTCTCGTGCCAGGCTTGATCAAATCGCAGTCCTTGCTCCAGTTCCTGTTGAGTTATGATAGCTTACAGAAAACTTCATAGATTCCGGTTTTTCTTTGCTTTCTTTGTTCGTTTTTTATGCTGGATGACGTAACTGTATCAGTATTTAAAAATAGTGCCCGTCTGTGATGGACTTTCGTGCCCCGGGGGTCCTAATAGCGCAGGTACAGTACAGTACTTCTGTTCTAAGCCACTGCAACAAAATTCAAGAATGTGGCTCAAATCGGTGTGTGCACCGTTATTATCCCAGTGCATGATGCTCAAAGTGCGTCACTTACCTCTTCAGAGCCTGGCGATGAGCAATTCACACCAGCGCTAAGCAACAGAGATGAGAAGGTGGCCTCCTTGTCAAGCGAGTTGACCAGGTGCTTGCTGAACTGGGGCAAGTATGGACACAATGTAGCCGCTGCTCGCTGATTTAGTAGGAAGCCTGGTTGACTGGACCAAACTCGCATACCGTTCACCCTTGCTGTATGTGGGCGGGGGCGTGCTAGGCAAACTGGACCAGTGCTTTCAACGTGGCTAAGGAACTCCGCCATCTTCTCGAGGTGAATGTAAGAAGTGTCATGAGTCAGCGCAAACCACTTGAACGCCAACAGTGTTGGGAGTGATCGGATATTCAAACTAGCCGTGGCTTCAGCAATGCTCGTGACAGAATCACACACACTCTCTAACATGGTGACGAAATGTTCCACGCGTGACACGCCACTAGCAGTAGGCAGTGACGGCTTCTGTACAACGTGAGTTTTCAAACTTCCAACTCCTGTCATTTGCCGAAGAAGGGTACCCAGAATCTGGGGTCCAAATAACTCTACATCTCGTGAATCAGGAGCGAAGTCCTGGAACCACGTTGATGCAGCTGCAGCAGATAACCCATCATTTGTGTGATAGACCAGTGGACTCAGCATCTTGAACATCCGCACCTCGTCATTCGCATGACGCAATATTTTCTTGCGACTTGATAATCTTCTCGGTCTTCTGGCATCTACGAGAAGCTGGGATAAATTTCTCGCGGGTTCCGCCAGAGGTGTTTCCTCTAATTTTCCAAATGCTACAGTATATTCCCATCTTGATTTGGCTACATCGTCTTTGGGCACACGGGACAAAGGTGGATTATCCGGATCGCGCGGAATCAGCTTGTGGATCAACAATCCAAGAATAGCTCCCAAGATGAAATTTCCCACCTGGCGAGGCTTTCCTCTTCTAAATAGAACCATCAGACAGGACAAAAAGCCCAGCTTTCTCATGCCGAAATCACTGACAAAGTCCTACAAACAACATTGTTGTGCCAGGAATTGCTGAGACGCTGGGCTCTCCTACATACCTGAAGATCGAGCTCTTAGCTTTTCAAAGTTCGCAGACACGGCAGAAAGTATCGCTTTCTCCAATTGCCAGGTGGGTTCTCAAACAAACAGGACTAGACTGCCATACCTTGTAGCACCTAAACATTCGAATTACTGAAATTGCAGACAATCAATCTCGTTGTTAGAAATAGAAGCGCGGCAGGTGGTGTATGTTTGGTACATGGTGATACATGTACTCGTCCCGTATGCAGTGCACGCACGCAGCGCAGGTTCATGGTCCGGACGCGGACCGCGGACTCTTCGTCTTATCTGGCGTTGTGTTGTCGACCGTGGAAGAAAGCCTGATATGCCAAAGCCGTCAGTCGTCACTCGTGCAGGGCGCGCCGGCGCTCAGTCTGTTGACAGTGTGATATGGAGCGATCCCGGCGCGGTCCGCGATCCGATGAACTGTCGCGTGCCGTACGGTACCGTATCGCTGGTAGAGGCGACGGTTTCATACTCATAGTCATAGGTTGCAAACCGGAACGGACTCAATATTCACTTTCTCTCTTGGTACAGGTCTACTCAGTACTCTCCATATAAGTTATAACGTAATCTCTGGGACCACGCAAACATTATGTTATATCGAGAGTTATGTTATGTAGAAAACCGTGTGTAAAATACAATATGTACCTCAAAATGAAGGGTATTACAGCGCGGGTTCAACCTTGCAAACATATACACACTGTACCACCATCGACATCAAATACCATCAATGCCGCAGAATATATGTCTGGCTAGCTACGGCTACAGCTTGATTGTACCGCGCACGTGAATCTACGTTGTATCGAGAGTGCACACGTCAGGGAGAGCGCCGTATAGGGTGCGTTATGCCGAGGTTTACGTTATGTAGGACTAAACTGGCCTAAACCACTAAACTGCCTAGCTACAGCTACCGCTTGATCGTACCGTGCACGTGAATTTATGTTGTATCGAGAGTGCGCAGTACTGCGCACGTCGGGGACCGCGCCGCAGCGTGTGTTATGTCGAGGTTTATGTTATGTAGGATTATGTTGTGTAGAACAAAATTTGTATGGGAGTGATGCTGTTTCGGCGTGGGATTTGATTTTTGTATGTACTAGCGAGGTTTATGTACAAGTGAGAGTTGTTATATCGAGAGCAGACCTGTATTTTGATTAGAAAACATACTACTGTACACTGTAGTATGTCACAGTGAGACTACGATGTGTTATCATGGTTATACTCCGAGCCAAAATTTCATGGCTCTGCGCGCGATGACCAGAAGCGCCATACCAAGCAGGTGAGTTTTGACGTGTTGCTTCGCACTGCGACTTGAGTTTTATTTTACGACTTTCGAAAAATCAACTTCTTGTCGCAGGTAAACAGCGGCTAGCCTCTCGCCAATAAAGCACCGCATACCAATCAAAACTAATGGAAGCACACACAAGGCTTATTGTTACTCTGTACTGGCCGTCGTGGATCATGGAGCGATAGCAATTATATAATAAATAATTCATTCTACTACTACTACTACTACTACTATACGAAGTAGTGGTTGCGGAGTGGTGCTTTCTTGCAGGTTTGCCGAGTCGAAGGTTCGATGGACTTCTCGTGTGCTCTGGATGGCAGTTGTGAGTCAGTCAAGTGTCAAGTAAAGTCGGCGGAATAGCGCGAGCTCCGGTGTGGGGAGCAAACCTTTCTTACTACTACTACTACTACTACCACTACTACTACTACTACTACTACTACTACTACTACTACTACTACTACTACTACTACTACTACTACTACTACTACTACTACTACTACTACTACTACTACTACTACTACTACTACTACTACTACTACTACTACTACTACTACTACTACTACTACTACTACTACTACTACTACTACTACTACTACTACTACTACTACTACTACTACTACTACTACTACTACTACTACTACTACTACTACTACTACTACTACTACTACTACTACTACTACTACTACTACTACTACTACTACTACTACTACTACTACTACTACTACTACTACTACTACTACTACTACTACTACTACTACTACTACTACTACTACTACTACTACTACTACTACTACTACTACTACTACTACTACTACTACTACTACTACTACTACTACTACTACTACTACTACTACTACTACTACTACTACTACTACTACTACTACTACTACTACTACTACTACTACTACTACTACTACTACTACTACTACTACTACTACTACTACTACTACTACTACTACTACTACTACTACTACTACTACTACTACTACTACTACTACTACTACTACTACTACTACTACTACTACTACTACTACTACTACTACTACTACTACTACTACTACTACTACTACTACTACTACTACTACTACTACTACTACTACTACTACTACTACTACTACTACTACTACTACTACTACTACTACTACTACTACTACTACTACTACTACTACTACTACTACTACTACTACTACTACTACTACTACTACTACTACTACTACTACTACTACTACTACTACTACTACTACTACTACTACTACTACTACTACTACTACTACTACTACTACTACTACTACTACTACTACTACTACTACTACTACTACTACTACTACTACTACTACTACTACTACTACTACTACTACTACTACTACTACTACTACTACTACTACTACTACTACTACTACTACTACTACTACTACTACTACTACTACTACTACTACTACTACTACTACTACTACTACTACTACTACTACTACTACTACTACTACTACTACTACTACTACTACTACTACTACTACTACTACTACTACTACTACTACTACTACTACTACTACTACTACTACTACTACTACTACTACTACTACTACTACTACTACTACTACTACTACTACTACTACTACTACTACTACTACTACTACTACTACTACTACTACTACTACTACTACTACTACTACTACTACTACTACTACTACTACTACTACTACTACTACTACTACTACTACTACTACTACTACTACTACTACTACTACTACTACTACTACTACTACTACTACTACTACTACTTGACACAATCTTTATTAGGAAACTTGAAATGGAGATGTGAAACACAAATACAGCCATGTAGATGGAGCAGCAATGCAATACAATGTCCAAAAACTCAAGAATTCATTATCATGGGGCAATGTTGGGCAAATGTCTGTCAGGTACTATCACGCTCAGGCTGCCCGCAACCTGCACATCGTCGTGAAATTCATCCTGTTGCGGCGGTATGACGATCTTGAACCCCGCAAACAGGTGACTGCCCATCGCATAAGGCAGACTGACAGCTTACAACGGAGCTGACCCATGATAACCGATACGTGTAGGTCGACGTTCTTCTCAGCAATCAGGCATGCCAGTGTCTTCAGTGCCATTGAACATTCTCTGCCAATCATGCCCGAGGTAGAAAAAACTAGCGGTGTAAACGTACCTCTGTCAACTGCTGTCACCCGCTCTCCGTACTGGCGCTTCTTCATCCGTTCATGCGTTCGGAGCTGGCTGATGACTTCCTGACGCGACAGCAAGCTTGCCTTTGGGTGTGTAACCCGGATGTCGAAAAAGGCATCTTGCTGTCTCGTCCAGAAGCCACAAGCCCGGATGTCCAGGCGGGCACCTGCCGAGCGGTTGGCTGTCCTCCCTTGGAGCCGCTCACCATCATATGGTAGTAGAGGCGGTTCTACCTCCACATCCCGGACCGCCTCACGCATCACGTCAGCCAACAAGTCCCGGATCTCATTGTGGCGTGCCATGGGGTAGCCCCCTGCCGGACACATCATCGCATGGTCTATTGTGTTCGCAGCACCACATACACAAGTCAGGGGGAGTCCGTCAGGCTGCAGGCCGTAGCGGATGCAGAACGCATCTCGGAAATCCGATTTGTTCAGCACCATCTGCATTTGGGACGATGGTTCCGCCGTTACCCAAGATGATACGCCCTTTTCCGCGGCATTCTCCACCAACAGCGCCTGTGTTGCTGTCAAATCCGGGCGCAATTCGCTAACGAGACCCGTGGCTTGGGCAGCTTTCTCTCTGCGAATACGCCCGGCCTCCTGCCGGCTGAGGGCTATTGCCTCGTTCAGCTGGTCTGTTTGAGTAGTTTCGTTGGTGCTTGTTGGATGTTCTGGTGGTCTTATGCAGGCCGCCACAGGAGCCACAATCTGTCTGGATGCAGAAAACTCTTTCTCGGCCTCCACCGAGGGCACAGGGATTGCCATGCCACCAAACCGCGCTGGTAGCGATAGCAACTTTCTCAGTGCCGACTCGTCCGAACACGAATGGCCGCTGAGCGCTGGCAGCAGCTTGTCCGTACTACTACTACTACTACTACTACTACTACTACTACTACTACTACTACTACTACTACTACTACTACTACTACTACTACTACTACTACTACTACTACTACTACTACTACTACTACTACTACTACTACTACTACTACTACTACTACTACTACTACTACTACTACTACTACTACTACTACTACTACTACTACTACTACTACTACTACTACTACTACTACTACTACTACTACTACTACTACTACTACTACTACTACTACTACTACTACTACTACTACTACTACTACTACTACTACTACTACTACTACTACTACTACTACTACTACTACTACTACTACTACTACTACTACTACTACTACTACTACTACTACTACTACTACTACTACTACTACTACTACTACTACTACTACTACTACTACTACTACTACTACTACTACTACTACTACTACTACTACTACTACTACTACTACTACTACTACTACTACTACTACTACTACTACTACTACTACTACTACTACTACTACTACTACTACTACTACTACTACTACTACTACTACTACTACTACTACTACTACTACTACTACTACTACTACTACTACTACTACTACTACTACTACTACTACTACTACTACTACTACTACTACTACTACTACTACTACTACTACTACTACTACTACTACTACTACTACTACTACTACTACTACTACTACTACTACTACTACTACTACTACTACTACTACTACTACTACTACTACTACTACTACTACTACTACTACTACTACTACTACTACTACTACTACTACTACTACTACTACTACTACTACTACTACTACTACTACTACTACTACTACT